AATACTTCAAAACAAAAATATACAATATTATGTTCTAACCTGAACTTACACAAAGCATCTATTTTTAGGTAACAGTCTGCTAACAGACCTTCCTTATTATAAAGACCTTTGGTTGGAAAAAAACAAAACAAAACACCAAAACCCTCAGTTTTGGGGGAAAATTAAGTGTGTGTGTGTGTGTGGGGGGGGGGGGGGGTTGAACATAGGACTTCACAAATGCTAGGCAAGAGCTCTAAAACTGATCTACATCCCCAGTTCTCTTTTTGCCTTTTGAGACAAGGTTTCCCTGTGGGTCAAGAAGGCCTTGAACTTTTGATACTCCCACTCAGGCCTCTGGAGAAGTTAGGATTATAGACCTCGGCCAACAGGCCTAAGTGAAAATATTCTTGCTATCACATAAGCAAAAGATGAATAAAAGGGGCTATTTTCTGAAGCCATTTTCATAAATCACAAAACTGTTTTGAATACAAAATTATTGTTTCCTCTTTACTAACATTGTAAGCTGTTCTGAATTCACTAAATTTAAGAATTATTATTGTGGCTGGGCTCCAACATGGCCAATGATCCCATCATCCTGGTATTCAAACCCAAGTGTAATAATCCCCTTCTCTGTTGAATGTGGCCTAGACTTAGTGACTAGCTGCTAATAAACCAAATGAGACACAAATGACTCGGAGAAGTAGTCATAAAAAGCATGGTGACTTCACTCACTTTCTCAGTACAGAGAAGCACATGTCTTGAAACAGAAGTCATATGAGCTTAGACGTGCAGCCTTTGGCTCTAGACACTCTTCAGAGATTGTCCAGCTCTATCTAACAGTTTAAATGTAACCTCAAGAGAGAACCTGACCCAGAACCACACAGCTACAACAATCCCAGATTTGTGTAAAGGAGTCTGGGAAAACTTTTGGAGTGGCTGAAATATTACCTTAATCACAGTGGCATTTATATGTATGCATACACTTGTTAAAGTAAAAATTACACTACTGAACTAGTGCACTTTATTATATTTAAACTACATTTCAATAAAGTTGATCTTTTTCAAAGGTCACTGAACTCGAGATAAACAGGTGAAGGGTCACTTTAAAAAGCAGTTTGTTAGTCGGGCAGTGGTGGCACATGCCTTTAATCCCAGCAATGGGGAGGCAGAGGCAGGTGGTTCTCTGTGAATTCGAGCCCAGCCTGGTCTACAGAGCGAGTTCCAGGACAGCCAAGGCTACACAGAGACCTTGTCTTGAAAAGAAAAAACAAAACAAAACACAACAAAAAAATCACCACCACCAAAAAAAGCAGTTTGTTAATTAGCTTTGGGAGTTCAAAGTATGCAGTAAGGAAACAGAAGCTATAAAAAGAAGCAACCATCACAAACCCTAAACTGAGCAAACCTGCTTCTTCCTCTATCTACAGCCCTTCCCATCATAGATGATGGCAACCCCACATTTCCAGTTGTTCTAGCCAAAGAGGTAGAGCTGTTCTTAACACTCTCTTCCCCACCCACTACATCCAATTTATAAACAAATTCGGACAGTTTTATCTCAGAACACATTCACCTCTCACTATACCACCACTGCCTTGCCAAGATTACTTCAATAGCCAAACTGGTTTCCCTACTTCACTTTGGCCCTTACAATCTATTATCAATCTAGAATGCAGAGTGAATCTGTCAAAACCTAACACAAACCATATCATGCTTGGAACCCTGAAACCACTCTCAATTTCGTTCAGAATAAAAGTCACTGTCAAGCCAGGTGTAATGGCTCACACACCTATATCCAGGATATTGGAGGCTGAGGGAAGAGTATCAGAAGTTCAAGGCCAACCTTAGATATATAGCAAAGTCAAGATCAGTCTGAGCTATGTGAGATCCTGACTTTAAAAACTAAAACAAAATAAAACAAATAAACCAGGGGAAATTAAAAAAATAAAAATAAAAAAGAACACCACCTTTGGGCAGGTGAGACTGTTCAGTGGGTAAAACTCTTGTTGCCAAGTCTGATAACTAGAGTTCAATCCCTAGGACCGATATGAAGCAGATTCCCACAACCTTACACATGTATATACACAAATAAAATTATAACATTTTCCTTTTAAAAAAAAAAATCTGCCAGTCAGGAGGTGGTGGTACATGCCTTTAAAGCCAGCACTCAGAAAGCAGAGGAAAGTAGATCTCTGAGTTCGAGACCAGCCTGGTCTTACAGAATGAGTTCCAGGATAGCCAGGGCTACAGAGAAACTGTCTTGAAAAACCAAAAGTCATTTTAACAGTCTACTGTGGTCACATTAAGCAGCTCCTTATTTTAATTCTCTTATCTCACCTTCTACTCCTGTCTTACTCTACTCTAGCCACCCTGGCCTGCTTGCTGTTTATACAGTATGTAGTGCATGCGCCTTCACAATGTTTTTTTCCTTGTCTAGAACACTTCCCCCAGATGACTGCGCGGCACATCATTTTCTAACCTTCTTTAGGTTGCTTCTCTACCAACACCATGTATTTAAAACTACAAATGTTCCTGGTCACTTACCAGTTAAGAGAAAAGAGCTGATTGGGAGGTGACTAGGTTAAAACAATGGAATTTACAAACCTGTAATCCCAGCACTCGGGATGTATAGGCACAGAAGGATCACAAGTTCAAACTACGTGGAAAAAATATGAGATGATACTCATTTGATATCTGGTAAAAATAAGAATTAAAATTGGCAAATAATTAACATTTGGGAAAGTTCTTCCAATTGTCTTTTTGGTAGTCAGCCTTAGGCTCATGAAGACAGAAAGTCTAAAGGTAACAACAAAGCATAAAAGGGGAGAAAGAAAAATGTAAGATTCCACAGGCTGAATGCCATGGATGAGAAAACCTAGGTTAGTATTCCTTTTTTAAACCAACCAGAGTACTTTATCTTAGCAGTATGCAGCAATATGCTAGGAGAGTGCTGTTTGCTTTCTGCCTTTCTTTTGGTGAGTATAGGAGATGGCAAAACTATATATGAAAGAAACATACTGATTTTTTGACTAGCTTTACCATTCTTGGAATACAGCCCTACTTAGCTGTTTCGCTCTTTTGACATTACAACTAGAGGTGAATAGCTATAAGAGAGAACTCAAGCCTGCAAAACTGAAAAATATTTACCATCTGCCCCTCTTTTAGAAAAACTTCTACAACAAGTATTAATAAGATGTAAATTTTTTGATACCTTGCACCAGTTTTATCATTTGTACTGAAATTGATACATCATAAATACTAATTTTCATTTCCAATTAAGCAAGTTAATACACAATAAATTATGTAACCATTACTCATTGTTTTCACAATCCTGTGGCCTTTCCCTTTTCAATCTAAAAATTAGCTGGTTGCCCATAAAAGATCAAATCTAGTCAGGTAGTGGTGGCACACACTTTTAATCCCAGCACTGGGAGACAGAGGCAGGTGGGTCTCTGTGAGTTAAAGGCTAGCCTGGTCTATATCCAGAGCTACGAACAGAGAAACCCTGTCTGGAAAAACAAAACAAAAGATCAGATATAAACAAAATCTTTCATCCTGCTTAAAACAGATAAATCTTTTAATTAATGTTTACATGCTTATATGCTGTTACTTCTTTTCAGGTTTTGTTTTTGTTTTTGTTTAAGAGTTACTTTATTATTTGTGTGTGGTAGGGGGTACAGATGTGTCTGAACACCAGACGCCAGCTTTTCAGGAACCAGCTCTTTCCTTCCATTTTTTGTTTTTTAGGCAGGATCTCTCCGGTTGTTTCTGCGACTGTGATACTCCACTAGCTAAAGCTGTGACCACAGCCGCAATGGGTTCTGAGGACCCAACTCAGGTCATCAGGTTGCCAGGAAACGTTTTTACCTGCAGAGCCATCACACCAGCATTGTTTTGTTTTGAGATAGGGTCTCACTGCAGCCGGGCTGATTGGGAATTCAGTAAGAAGTCCAGGAGCTGCCCCCCCAAACTAAAAAGGCAAACTCTGCCAAGCCATACAAGAGTTTATGCTATTCATGATGACACTTAGAAGAATAATTTAGCAAGTTGCCAGAAACTGGTATGGTAACATACTATAAGCTGGGTGTGGTGGCACACACCTGTAACCCTGACAGTCCAAAGTAGCGTCAGGAGGATCAAAGAGTTCTACGGTAGGCCACGGCTACAAGAGACCATATATCTCAAAGGAAAAACAAAAAACGCCTCAGAAAAACAAACAAGCAAAACCCCCAAAACACCAACAAAACCATCCTACAGAGAAAGTATGAGAGATATTGAGTATACAACTGGATATAAAAGTTCATAAAATCAGTTGATTTAAAAAAAAATTTTTTTATTCTTTGAAAGTCTGACTCCTTCATCAAAGATCAACCAATCTAAAATACCATTTATTAAATTTTTATCAAGTAACATAATACAGATTTTTAATAGCTATCAATGTAAACATGTCTACCTATATTTTCATAACTTTAGCCTCAACTACTAACAGAAAAATTGTAAGGTATTTATTTGAATTCCCAAAAAGTTTTTCTTAAAATAAATAGAAAATATTTTCAAGTAGAAGTTTACTTATGATTTTCTTAAAATCAAATTTGCTACATTAACAAAATACCTGTAATTAGTTTGTAAATACAGAAACATTGAGCTTTCTTTAAAAAAATTCTTAAATATACAGTTTTCCCCATTTTTTCTCTTTAGTTCATTTTTCACAGGACTATCATAATATATTTTGGTAGACACAAAAAATTTCTTGCTAACTTTTAAAGAAATTAAAATTTGAACATTAAATGTAGAATATTATTTTCCTATAAGTTAGAACTTATCTTGTTAATTATTATATCTATAAAATTAGGATCAAATGTTATAAAAGTAAGTCATGAAAATCATTTTACATTCTTTTAACATGAAAATAAATCTGATCATACGTCTGGGTAGTCAGATAATAATCTCCTTATTAAAATGCAAATAATTAGACAATAATAAAACAATCCACAATACTTGAAATTGAAAGAGATATTTCCTACCTTGCCTGCTTCTCTTTCTAAGTCGACATATTCCCGGCTAGGTGTCTGTCGCTGTTCTCCCTGCCAGCTGGCCGGAAAAAACTGGAGAGACAGATTGGTTCCTGTGGCCACAAAAGCCTTTTAGAAAAATCAATACAAACAGGATCAGGAGCAGGACATTACATAAATTATGCAGGCAGTCATTTATTTTTACATCAGTTTATGTCTTAAGCCAGGCAGCACCGAGAATACTTAAAAGTAAAAAACATGCACTCATCATTTTTCTTAAGTATTAAGTTACAAACATCTGATTCCATTTTAAGGACATTTGCCATTGGCTGCTTAAATATAAAATCAGACATGGAATCAATACTTTCTTTCAGGTCATATTTTTGCTGACGTTAGGAACTCACATTGCTGTGTCTAACCAAAACCCCTATCCTTGGATTTAAAAACTTCATTTTCAAATGTGAAAAACCACTCATGATTTTAAATTTTAAAGAATATCATAATTTAAAGTTGTATAAATGAGATATTTTAATTTTTGATTCTTTGGCTCAAGAAAATATGCAACCATGTGTGGTGCATTTTTAAAAACCCGCAGTATTTAAGTACATTTTAAAGCATGAGTTTCAAAGCCCACGAAAAAAACATACTAGGAGGCCAGGTGTGATAGCGCCCACCTTTGATTGATAGCGCCCACCTTTGATTCCAGCAGCACTAAGGACACAGAGGCAGATAGAGCTCTGTGAGTTCGAGGCCAGCCTGGTCTACATACTGAGTTCTAGGACAGCCAGGGCTACAAAGTATGATCCCGTCTCAAAAAAAAAAAAAAAAGAAAAAAAAAAAAAAGAAAAGATGGTACAGCTCAATACACAGAACAAATCTAAAACCATCTTCAAAAGTATCATTTTATGCAGCCTCTGAGCAATTTAACTCTTATTTCCCCAACAAACAAACAAAACCCCAAAATACCATTATTTCTTTTCCAAGAGAGATTTAGAAAGAAATAAGTAAAAATCACATTTCCAAAAAATACATTTTTGATCTGGAGAGATGGTTCAGCAGTTAGAGCACTGGCTGCTCTTGCAGAGGACCCGGGTTCAATTCCCAGCACCCACATGGTGGCTCACGACACCTGTAACTCCAGTTCCAGGGGATCTTATGCCCTCCTAAGCCTCTGTGGGAACTTCACACACACGGTGCACAGACTTGCATACAGAGATATATGAAATAAAAACAAAACAAAACAAAACAAAACAAAAATGGAGTATCTTTACACAGTCAGGCAGCATGGCCCAAACCGGACACCCCAGCTTTGAAACCCATCTAGAAAAATAAAAAAACAAAACAAAAAAACCCCAACATTTTAAGCTGTGCACATTGGCACATGCCTTTAATCTCAGCACCTGGGAGGCATAAACAGGCAGACTTCTGTGATTCCAAGGCCCCCATGGTCTACATAGTGAGTTCCAGGACAGCCAGAGCTATGTAGTAAGACCCTGACTTGGGGCAGGGGAGAGGGGGAATCATTTTAGGGGTTGGAGAGACAGTTCGGTTTTTTTTTTTTTGTTGTTGTTGTTGTTGTTTTTTCGAGACAGGGTTTCTCTGTGTAGTTTTGGTGCCTGTCCTGGATCTCGATCTGAGCTCACAAACATCCCCCCACCCCCCACCCCAGTGCTGGGATTAAAGGCGTGTGCCACCGCCACCCAGCAACAGTTCAGCTCTTAAGAACAGTGGCAACTTTCGAAGGACTAGAATTCGATTCTCAGCATCCATATGGAGGCTCACAATCATCTGTAACTTAACTTCCAGGGGATCCAATGCCCCATTCCTACCTCTGTGGGCACCAGGCACATCACATAGGGCATAGACATACATGAAGGCAAAACACCCATACACATTAAAAAAAAAAAAAGTTTTAAAGTCACCTATGTATGAACTTCTCTTTGTTGGAAGCATAGTTTTATCCTGCTTATTAAATTCTGAAGCATTCATTGTTTCTAAACATAATCTTCATTTGAAAGCAAGGGGCTCACGTTCGGGAGATTTGCTCAAAGTTACTAGATAATGAATTTTCCCAACAGTTCCCCTGAGGAATAACAACTTCAGAAGGGGTCTCACTATGCAGCCCAAGCTGGCCTTAATTAATATTTTCTCTCCACCTCCTATTTATTTCTATTACTGGTCCTGTAAGTACATTTCATCAGCCTAACTGCTCAACCTCTCAACTGGGCAAGTTTTACTCATAAAAGCCCCACCAGCATAAGTTCAAATGAAAAGCAGATTCATGAATTCAAGTTCATCTCTGACTACATATTAAGTTTAAAACCAACTTGGGCTCCATGAGACCCTGCCCAAGCCCATCCCCTCCAAAAAATGAAAACCAGAATTCTAGAAGGAAATCTGCCTAGGCTGTATGATCTCAGTTTCCTTATTTATTAAGCTGCTTAGAAAAGTATCAATAAGCACTACAGAAATGTGCACTGTGCCAGTGGTGGTGGCATAAGCCTTTAATCCCAGCACTCGGGAAGCAGAGCCAGGTGGATCTCTGTGAGTTTGAGGCCAGCCTGGTCTACAGAGTGAGTTCCAGGACAGGCTCCAAAGCTACAGAGAAACTCTGTCTCGAAAAAAGTAACAAAACAAAAAAATCTCTTAATAAATGTGTGCTGAATAATATAAGAGAAATAATCCCTCCCTCCACAGAATGCCCTAAAACTCAGCACAGAGTTCACGCTGCTCAAATTCAAGGCAGCCCTCTTGTCTCAAGTACACAAGTCCTGGGTTCACAAGCAGGAGCTTCATGCTAAGCTGAGACTATATCTTGCTATTTTGCCTACGCTGTCTTCAAACTCCAGGGCCTAAGTCACCTTTTCCACTCAATGTCTCCAGTACCGAAACTACAGGCACAAAGCACATACACAGCCAAAGAGAAACTATCAAGAAGAGCTAACTTTCTTGTCCTTAGATAACATTTTCAGAGCAGAGAATTGGCAGGTTAAATCCAGCCCAGGAAACTTGTCTGTTGACAGCTGTGTTTACTAGTGCTCTAAGTCAGCTCTGTGCTGAACTCACTTCCTATTTGAATGGCAATCTCAGACTTTCTAAGGTGGGTGTTGCTCACACCTGTAATTACAGCAATCAAGCAGCAGAGGCAGAAGGATCAGGAGTTCCAAGGGTAGTCTGTATTACATGAGTTCTTGTCTCAAAACACAAAACAGGGGCTTGGGAGATGGTTCAGTGGATAAAAGCGTTCCTGCACAAGCCTGACAACCCACATTTCACCTCCAGTATCCACATGGTGGAAAGAAAGAACTGATTCCATTGAACTTCCCTCTGACTTCCACAAGCACACCATTCATGTGAGAGTGGGTACCTGTGTGCTGTGTGTGTGTGTGTGTGTGTGTGTGTGTGTGCACAATAAATAAATAAATAAAATAAAAATTGTAGTACTCAAAGAAAGAAAAGTTTCTGCTTCACTAACTTCATGCCTATTATCTGAAGATTCTTCTCATGAGGATGAAAAGTGGCAAAAACTAATAAGCAAGTACTGCAACCCCATCTTTTTCTTCCCTTTTATTTTTGAGACAAGGTCTCATATGTAGTTCTAGTTAGCCTGATTCACCAGGTAGACCAGGCTGGCCTAAAATTCACATTGATCTCCCTATCTCCTGAAATCTAGGATCAAAGGCATGGACCACCTTGCCCAGCAAAACACTAGCTAACCCATTTTTTTAAATGAAATACCTACACTTATGAAAGAGTTAGGAAAACTCTGAAAACATTAAAACAGCACACTTTGTTTTAGAACCCAACATACTTCTTACCATTCGAATTTCAGGATTAAAAGTATTAGTGTGAAAATGAAAAAAAAAATGTATGTATTAGAGGCAGGAGGATTAGGAGTCTGAGGCTAGCCTGTTACAAAGTGAGAACCAGTCTCAGCACTCGAGCGCGCGCGCGCGCGCGCGCGCGCGCGCACACACACACAGAGAATTAGCTTTTACTTTTCTCACAATAATCATAACTCCCACAAGTCATTTTTCTCTTAATTATTTCTTGTATTATTAGTAATAAAGACATTTCCAACACGCTTATTCTAAGAATTAATGACCAGGCATGGTGGTACACATCTTTAATCCCAGCACTCAGGAGGCAGAAGCAGGTGGATCTCTAAGTTCAAGGCTAGCTTGCTCAACAAAGCAAGTTCTGCCACAGCCAGTTCAGAAGATATAAATTTCAGGCATAAAATTATATAACCTCTAAATTCAAAATTCAGATAATCAAATATCTTTGATGCAAAACAAAAAAAAAATTGGTTTATTTATTTATTTATTTATTTATTTATTTATTTATTCAGAAGATACTCAGAATATAGTCTCTGTTTCTGTGAGCTAAAGGTCCTGGGAGTTTTCTTTGGAAGAGGGCTAGGCATGACCTCAACCACTGGCTAGAACAGCTCTCTCTAGCCGACAGGATCCTCCTGTATTTATATGTAAGGCAAAAGGATCAGTTCAATCCTCAGCTACATACTGAATTTGAGGCCAGCCTGGGCAACTTGAGAGCCTGCCCACCCCCACAAATCCATCAAAAATAAATGAAGGTAATATAATCATAATCAAAAAGCACAAAGATCACAGGTTCAAAGCAACTTAGTAAGGCCCTCTTTCAAAGTCTAAAATAAAACTTTTTCAAAAGGGCCATGGATACAGCCCAGGTATACAGAATATTTGCCTAGCATGCTCAAGACCTTAGGGTTCAAGTCTTAGTACTAGGGTGGGGAGAATAGGTAACAATTAATTAAAAGGTAAGAAAGAGAAGGAAATGTGAAATTCCTTCCCAAAGACAAATAATTAAATTACTTAACAAAGGGTCAATAAGAAGGTAAAGGTACTTACATAGCTAACCCTGCCAACATGAATTCAAACCCTGGGACCCACATGGTGAAGGAAAGAACCAATATCTCTAACTTACGCTGTGACCTCCACTCACTCACCATGGCACACATACTGCCCCCTCCACTCAATCAACTAATGTTAAAAAGGGAAATTAAACAATTAATTACTTGTTGTGAAGCCCAGTCCCAGTGGATACATTTACAAAATGTTCCTGCACCTAACCCTCAGGGAACACTGAAGGGGTAAAGAGACTGTGTAAGAGCCAGAGAGCAGGGAATTTCTGTGAGACTGTGTCTCCAGTAGAGTCAGAAGCTACACTCATAAAATCTCACCAACACGACTGGGCAAACATGAGCTGAACAAGGATGACACTGGACATGCCAAAGTGGATGGGGACAAACCCACTAGGCCTCAACCCTACACAAAGAAGTGAGGCAACCAAGGGAAGCTGGGATCCGGAGAGGTGGTCTTCCCTAGGGAAGAGCTCACCAATTGGCTGTCCAGCCCTGAAAACATACATACAAATAATATTGTATGGATGGAACAGGTTATATTTAGAAATATATATATGTATACATATATATATGAATAAAATGAAAAAAAAAAGGCTGTGAATTTGAAGGAGAGTGGGGAGGGGTATATGGGAAAGCTTGGAAGGAGGAAAGGAAGGAAGGGAGAAATGTAATTATAATCTCAAAAAAACCCAATATGGAATAAAAACATATTCATTCATTCATATTCTCTCTCTCTCTCTCTCTCTCTCTCTCTCTCTCTCTCTCTCTCTCTCTCTCTCCATGACAGGTTTCTCTGTATATCCCCGGCTGTCCTGGAACTCAATGTCTAGACCAGATTGCCTTCAAACTCAAGAGATCTTCCTGCCTCTGCATCCTGAATGCTGGGATTAAAGGCGTTCGACACCACCACCCGACTCAATCTACCTTTCTTAACTTATAAAATTTTTCAGAAAATACACAAAGCTTATTAAAATTTGTAAGCAGCTGGGGGTGCTTCTCAGTTGTACCAGGCATGGCAAACACCTGTAATCCTAGGACTTGGGAGGTCCAAGCAGAATTGTAACTCATCCAAGGTTGTATATATTGTCAGTCTAGGTTAAATATGACCTTTTCTCAAAGAAAAACAGAAAAATAAAATTTGAAGAATCAAATACTTAGCCTAGAATGTCTAATTCACTCTGAAAGAAATTTATGACAAATACCTATAACACTGATATATCACAACATTAAAATACAGCTGTTTAGACATACTGTGCCTTGAATTATTATGCCCAATTTATAATTACATGCATCAAACTCTGATGGGACAAATAAATAAATAAATCCTACTGGTTATGCATCACTGCATTAAAAAAATCAACTCAGCTTTAAAAAACAGTAATTTATTTGTATCTTGTTCTTTACATTTAACATTGGTAACATCCAGGAAATTCTTTATCAAGTATACCTACCATCCACCTTTTGCTTCTGAAATGCAGGAAGGATGCCATCATCACTGGACCACTGAAGAATTTTCTTCTACCACTCAGAGCCAAAACTAAAAAGCATTTCTAATGCCTTTTTCAATCATGTAACTATCATAATTACTCAAGAAACCAGATATGGGTTGAAAGCGGCAGGCTTTCTTTTATAAAACACCTTAATGATCGAATAGTTAACAGCTCTTGATACAACTAATTAGAGTTATCTCACTACCAACTCAATTCCAACAGCCTTCATTTTAAATACTAAAATAACCTTTAAAAATAAATCTGGTTTCAGTGGCCAAAAGTTGATTGAGTTCATGATATGTGGATTACATCTCAATTAAAAAAAAATTGTGTGGGGGGGATAGAATACATTCATCAATAGTCTTGTACAGTTAACCTATATTCAAATTGTACCTTTGCTTCAAGTTTGGGCTAAGGCAATGGGTCTGTCACTGAGCAAATATTAAGATTCCATTACATGGTGCTTCAACTAAAAAAAAAAAAAAAACCCCAAAAACAAAAAGCAAAACAAAAAAAAAAAACCAAACTGAAACCTAAGAATCTCTTTCCTATAGTTTCTTCCCTTTGTTGCTTCCTAAGCAACCCATCTGAAGAGGACAACTAACAGACAAGAACTAGGTCACTAATATTTTTCCACCCAGGACTTGATGAGTAGTAGGCTTCACACATCAAACAGGAGCCTCTAGATCAACCACGGGTTTGGTTTCGTAGAGGCAGACAATTCTTTAGGGACTCCAATACTAAGAGGGACATGTTTAGATTAGAAAAAAAGAAAATAAACGTTTCTTTCAGACTCAACATTCTAAGAAAAAAAAAAAAAAAGGTCCATCCTTTGGGGCCTCCCCCTCCCCCTCCCCTGTTAGGACGACAGATAAGTGGAGTAGATTTACTCTCGGCTGCATTAGGAGATATCTTCCCATATAGATTTACCAATCTCGCTTCTCAGAAACAAACTATCGCTGACCCCAAATGATTCTTTTTACGAATGGGTGTATTCTTCCGACAAACACTCCGACCCCTGATCGAGGTCACGGGCTGGGCGATAACCTTTGCCAGGCTCGGGTTTGAGCTCCTCTCCGAGAGCCGAGCCTGCACGGGAACCACTGACCGTCGCAGCCGTTCAGGGAAGAACGCGTGTCCGCCCGAGGGCCGACCCGCCAGGGTCTGCCTTTTGCCTCTCGAATCCGGACTAGGAAGTGAGACTGCGCCCGCTCAGTTCCGGGAGCCGCAGCGTCCGCGGCGCGGTCCGGAACCCGCCTGGGCCGCGCGCAACAAGTGACTGGCGCGCGCCTGGGTCCCCGCGGCCTCCCCGCGCACCCGGGCCCGCCGACTTACGATCTCCGAGCGGCCGTCGCGGCAGGCGTTCTGGAAGCGGGTCTGGCGCTCCTCGTGAGGCCGGTCCCTGAAGCCCGTGTACTTAATCTGCAAGGCAGAGGTGGCCCGAAATCAGGAGTCAAATCCGCGGCGGCGCCCGCCCGCCCGCCCGCTCCCCGCGGCTCCGATAAGGGCAAGCAGAGTCTGCGGGCGGACTGCTGCCGGGGTGAGATTACCCCTCCGCCGGCTCGCCGCCTCGGGCCTCCCGGGAACCAAGCCGCTCAAACTTTTCTCCGCCCGGGCCCACTCGGGGCGCGCCAAGGCCTCCGCGCCTCCCACCCGCCTCACCTCACACTCGCGGCTCAGCTTCCTGAAGAACTCCTCGTTCTCGAACTTGCTTCTCTGGTCGGGGACGACGCGCGGCATCTTCCCGCCCTCAGGCCGCGCCGGCCGGCCGCGCTCCGGGCTAGCGCGGGCACCCGCTGGCGGGCTCGGTGCTGACCGGCTGACCGCCCACCCGCGGCGTCTGGACTCCCGCTGCTCTTTGTTTCAGGAGCCCGCCCGCGTGGGCTCCCGCTCCAGGGAGTCTGAGGTGCGGCCGTCTGCTTGAGCCCAACCCACGCTACCGCCGCCGCCGCCGCCGCCGCCTCAGCCGTTGCTTGCCGCCCGCGCAGACACAGCTCCAGCCTCCCCCGGCCGCGGCCGCCACTTCCTCTCGCCGCCCCCCCCTTCTCTCCCCACCTCCCCGCCGGCCCCACCCCTCCTTCTCGCGCGCCCGCCCGCCTCAAACTCTAGCAAACAAGACGCACCATTCACAACTCCACGACCCGCGCCGCGCATGCGCCACCCACCAGCTTGCGGGCCCGCTGGGTTGCAGTGAAACCCGGCTCCTTCCGCAGCACAATCTCCTTACCCTCGCCTGTGCGCTGGCTTCTCAGCCAACAACCGCCCAGAAGGGATCTGCCCCTCCCTTAGCAACTAGGAGCGGCCCCGCAGACCCTTTTTTTCTGCCCCTTTCTGGGCTATCTGGAACTTCTTGGCTCCTTAGCAGCCACGCAGAGTAACCCCAGATAGCCACTTGAATTCGAGGAAACTTAAGTCCTTGAGGACTTTGCATACTTCACACAGTCTGGGAGGGATGTGGACTGTGCACTGAAAAGTGGACGTAGACATCTAGCTGAATCATGGTGGAAGGGTGGTGGCTGTCGGAGCCAGGTGGGCATTAATGAGTCTGTCTGCAGACGAAGGTTTTAGTACCACACCAGTACTTGTAAGTAAGATTGGTAATTCCCAAAATGCACTCATAAATTCATAGCGTTGGTATGAGAGTGTTTATGTAGGTCTAGCACATCATTTAAAGAAAAACAATCTAAATTATATATAACCTGTTGCCAATCTATATTTTTACCCAAATATGGAGTCAAGTACGAAAAATATCTGCAAGTTCTAGAGAAGTCATTTAGCCAGAGCAGAAGAAAGTCTGGATTTGCAACAGAGCTTGATCTAAAGATGATCCTCAATAAATCCCGATCCTTAAAATTCCAGTTTGTTAAAAGTTCAGTTCAAAGCCGGGCGGTGGTGGCACATGCCTTTAATCCCAGCACTCGGGAGGCAGAGCCAGGCGGATCTCTATGAGTTCGAGGCCAGCCTGGTCTACAGAGTGAGATCCAGGACAGGCACCAAAACTACACAAAGAAATCCTGTCTCGAAACAGACAAACAAAACAAACAAACAAAAGTTCAGTTCAAGGATGGTAAATAGATGCCAATTCTGACAGCAGCTGACCAGATGCTAAGCCTTGTGAGGATACACCCAAAGTCACCAGAATCAGTTCTGAGGTCAGTTGGCAATGCCTGCTTGAATACAGATTTTGGCAGAATTTTACAGCCAGCCCAATTCAATCTTATTTTATAGATAGAGACCTAAACTTGGGTAAACAACTGTCGTAGTTTGCCAGAGACTGTCCTTGTTTTAGCAATGGCCCACCCCCTGCCCAACCCTCTGAAGCTGCTCAGTCCCCATAGGGTGGTTGACCATCTTAACCGAAGTCTGGAGAGTTGATTGCCCGAAGTCAAGGGTTTGTTGTTGGGTTTGTGTGTTGTGTGCATTACTTTTCTACTGCTGTGATAAAACACCATGTTCAAGGAACTAATGGAAGAGTTTATTTGGGCTTACCACTCCGACAGGTTAGAGTCCATGATGATGGGGCATGGTTGACAGGAGTAGGAAGCTCTGAGGGCTCACATCTTTTTGTTTGTTTGGTTGGTTTGTCGAGACAGGGTTTCTCTGTGTAGTCCTGGCTGTCCTGAAACTCACTTGGTAGACCAGGATGGTAATTCCCAAAATGCACTCATAAATTCATAGCGTTGGTATGAGAGTGTTTATGTAGGTCTAGCACATCATTTAAAGAAAAACAATCTAAATTGTTTTTCTGAGATTTGCCTGCTTGTGCCTCCAAAGAGCTGGGATTAAAGGCATGTGCTGCTACTGCCTGGCTGAGGGCTCACATCTTAAATAAAAAAACATGAAACAGAATAAAATCTAGGAATGCCAGTGGCTTTGAAACCTCAAAGGTGGCCCCCCAGGGACATACTTCCTCCAGCAAGGCCACGCCTCCTAAACCTACCCACATAATACTACCACTGGGGATTAAGTATTTAAACATCTGAGCCTATGTGGGACATTTCTCATTCAGACCACCACAGCCTGGGTGATGTAGTTCAAACCCAGGGATTCACCTCAGCAAGTGCTATACCACTGAGCTATATTCCCAGCCTTCATGGTCAAGTTTTTTTTAGCAGTCAAATTTGTAGGCAACATGTACTTATAGCCCCAGATACTTCAGCACTGTGGCGGGAAGATTTCTTGAGCCTAGGACCTACACCAAAAAAAAAAAAAAAAAAAAAAGGAGGGGGGGAGGAAGGAGGTCCTGTAAGTTGATGTTTTGAGAGTCATACTCTTTCCATTAGCAGATATGGAATCAGCTCCTTCCTTCCTTCCTTCCTCCCTCCCTCCCTCCCTCCCTCTCTTCCTTCCTCTTTATTTTGTTTGTTTTTGTTTTCTGGGACAGGGTTTCTCTGTGTAGCCCTGGCTGTCCTGGAACTTGCTCTGCAGACAAGAGTGGCCTTCGAACTCAGAGTGCCTCTGCCTCCTGAGTGCTGGAATTAAAGACTTGCACCATTATGCTTGGCAAATCAGCTCCTTCTTAGGACAGACATCACTCACCGCACTTCTAAGCCTGTAGAACGGATATGTGTACATGAATAGAAAGGGTACAGTTGTAGATAAAAACAATAACTACTGATGGACCTTCAGCTATTTCACAATCTTCCACTCTGGCCTCTTTTCATTTATTTATTTTTTAATGTGTGTGTGTGTGTGTGTGTGTGTGTGTATGTGTGTATGATGTGTGTATGTGTGCACACATGCCATGGTTTGTATGTACAGTTCAGAGGACACCTTTGTGCAGTCAGTTCTGTAATGCCTCCTTTACTTGGGTCCCAGGAATTGAACTCAGGTCATCAGGTTTTCACACAGCAAGTGCTTTTGAACATGATGCTGGGCTCTCTTACCAGGCCTGCTCAGGCCCCTTTCAATTGCAAGGGATGGAAACCCTATCCCAACAAACTTAAAACTCAAAGAGGTCACTTATTTCAAGTAAAAAAAGAGGGGTGTAAATGAACATCATCCCAACAGTAAGGACTCACTTCCGTTTCTCCTTTCTCTTCACTGCTCAATTCTCAGAGGCTCTCTTAGGTGGCTTCCATTTCCTGGCAAAGGATGGCATCAGCTACCCTTCAACTTCTTGAAAATTACAGGGAAGGACTTTGATTCTCCTTCTGGGTTCACATAGCCTCCCCTCTGTCAAATCATAATGTCCAGACAGATGTACTGATATAATCTATCAGTTTACATTCTATGCCTATTCATCAGGGTTTGAAGGCCTGTGATTGGCAGCGCCAGAGACAGTTTGACAAATTGAAAGAGAGGGAAAAGCAATTTTTCCCAAAAGAGGGAATGAATGAAAATGTGTTACCGGACCACTAAACAATTTGTATCAGCTATATCTGGCTGCAGTTTTTATTGATTTTTGTTGTTGTTGTTGTTGTTGTTGTTTTGTTTTTCAAGACAGGCTTCTCTGTCTTGAACTGTCCTGGAACTCCCTTTGTAGACCCGGCTGGCCTAGAACTAACGGCGATCCACCTGCCTCTGCCTCCCGAGTACTGGGATTAAAGGCATGTGCCATTACTACCTGGCTCTATTGATTTATTTTTAAGATGGGCTCTCATTCTCATGACTCATTTTGTAATAAAAAAAAAAATGACCTTGAATTTCTGCTTCGTCTGCTTCTACCTCTCCAGTGCTGGGATTGCAGGCATGAGCCATCCATCACACGTGGTTCATGTGGTGCTCTGGATGGGACCCAGGGCTTTGCTCATGTTAGGCAATCACTCTATCAAATGAGTGATACATTTCTAGCCCCAAAACATCCCACTCTTATTAGTGCATAAATATTTTGGTCAAACTGATGGAAAAATTTCCATAGGCAAAATAATTGACGAAACTAGCATTAAATGTCTGACACATGGGTTAGGAGGTAAGTGAGGCAAGCAGCCTTCACCCAAGGCAGATCTGAATTACTCACGGGAGCAGGATCTTTTTTTTTTTTTTTTTTTTTTTTTTTTTTTTTTTTTGTTTTGTTTTTCGAGACAGGGTTTCTCTGTGTAGCTTTGCGCCTTTCCTGGAACTCGCTTTGGAGACCAGGCTGGCCTCGAACTCACAGAGATCCGCCTGGCTCTGCCTCCCGAGTGCTGGGATTAAAGGCGTGCGCCACCACCGCCCGGCGGGAGCAGGATCTTTTATGCATCTACAGCATCATCTTCGTCTCCCAGTCCAGCCAAGAGAATCTTTGTGCACAGGGCAGCACAGTCATTGTTAAGCAAGAAGAGATGGCATGGTTCCCAGTCAGCAAGACCTGTCTGCTAGTGTAGGGGCTTATTGCTGGCATTTTTGCTGCTGGCCCTCATGTGGGGGTGGTAGTGAATAAAGTGTATCCTATATGGTGTCAGCCAACACCACCACATTCTGTTTAGGTAGACATTTGTATTACTTTCCGTTTCAACCTCTGAAAAGTGACCTTAAGAAAGCACCAGTGCTCTACAGTGAGTTCCAGTGGGCCTACTCATTTGCGTCTCATCTTGGCCTTTTGTTTCTAACAGTAATTGTTTCTTCCATTGGAAATAAAAGCTGAAACTGGGAAGGATGACCCAGTCCTGTAACACTAGACTAGTACTCAGAAGACTGAGGCAAGAGGATGTTAAGTCCTGGGCCAGTTTAGGGACTGCTACACACTGTCAAAAACAAAACAAAACAAAGCAAATCAACCAACCAACCAAACCAAACAAGCAGAAAAAGAAAGGAAAAGAAGAAGATAAAAGAAAAGAAGCTGGGTGGTGGTGGTGGTGGTGCACACCTTTAATCCCAGTGCTAGGGAAGCAGAAGCAGGTGGATCTCTGTGAGTTCGAGGCCAGCCTGGTCTACAGAGCGAGTTCCAGGGTACTCAGAGAAACCCTGTCTTGAAAAACAAAAAGGAAAGAAAGAAAAATCAATCTCTATTAGTGCCCTGAAAGGAAAAATAGTAGCAAGGTCAAGGGATCTGGACCTAGGTGGGTGTGAATGCAGGGAACACAGAGCAAGCCAG